GCCAAACCCGGCAATTTGCGGGTTGGGTTGGGTTTGGGCCGGGTCTGGGCTCAAATTTTTAGGCCCAATAATTAATTGGGCTGGGTACGAGCTGGGTTTATAAAATACCGGTTGTATATCAGAATCCCGACACCCAAAATCCCGACACCCAAAATCCCGGCAACAAAATACCGATACTCAAAATCCCGACAAATTAAAATCCCGACAATATTAAAATCCCGATACACAAAATCCCGACACTCAAAATCCCGAAATTACCAAAATCCCGACACTACCAAAATCCCGATAATACAAAATCCCGATATACAAAATCCCGATACTAACAAAATCTCAGCAGTATCAAAATCCCGAAACACAGAATCCCGACACTCAAAACCCCAATACACAGAATCCCGATACTCAAAATCCATCACTCAGAATCCTGACACACGGAATCCCGATACTCAAAATCCCGAAACACAGAATCCCGATACTAAAATTCCAAACCACAAAATCCCAATACTCAAAATCCCGAAACAGACACCCAAAATCCCGATACTCAAAATCCCGAAACGCAGAATCTCGACACTCAGAATTCAGACATTCAGAATCCCGACAAAATTCTAATACAGCCAAAATCTCGACACTACTAAGATCCTGACATTCAGAATCAAGTTCTCAACACCGCCAAGTTCCCAACACATAGATACGTGTAAAGGGGTAAATAAGATATTTATTACTAATAAACCCAAACTATTAAATAATCTACCATATATGATATAAATTAAAATTTTAACTATTAATTCATGGTTGACATGCTCAAACACACTGCAAGAACCGACCAAATTTAAATATTAAGGCCAGACCTTCTTGTTAAAGGGCATGTACCTATTCAAATTAAACAGTTAAAAATAAAAGCTTATTTAAATCCAACGTAATAAAATAGTTTTAGACGAAAACATTTCTGGTTACCTTCACTCTACAGTATAATTTGATATGGTCCAATAAACGGTAGGCATATTTTGCCTTCTAAGTAAAGTTTGTGGGGATACTGATTATTACTGATTATTTTTGCATAGTGAATATAGATGTTCTATCGAAGCGAAAAATAGCTTTTACGGTGATTTTTTGTTAGTGAAACTAAAAAGTATAAATAAGTTACCCGGGCAATTGATTTACATCAGCCAATCAGACGAATGTCCTCCTATGACTACACTACATGATTCCGACACTACCAAGTTTTGATCTTGGATGTACATTTCTTGCCAGATCACGACAAGTCAAGCCTTTTACATAGCCAGTTAGGTTAGTTGAATAAGATGAAACTTACAAACTTGAAATTTATTTCATAATACTGATAATATAAAACTAACACAAATATACATTAATATCATTATCATTTATTTGATAAAACTTAAAATTGGAAATTGGAAATTGACAAAACACACTTTTTATTTCACACATTGTCTAGTTTTATACCATCAAGTTTTTTTAATACAATAAAATATCCTTTCACACTTTCTAATTGAAATCGAAGTCATCACAGCTTGAATAGCTTGAATTTCCGAATCAACATCATATTTATTATAATCACGATTTATGGTATAATTACCTAAAGCATATTTCCCTAGTAAGCAAATGATTCTAAATTGCCGGTTCCACGTCATTAGCCTGACAACTATTTGCCCGACAGCTTTTTGCCTGACAATATTTTCCTGACAACCACTTCCCTGACATAAACCACTTTTTTGACATTATTTCCTGACCGCTTCCCGACACAATCCACTTCCCGGTATAATAACTTTTTCCCTTGTCGGAAAGTGGATCAAGTCAGGGAAGTATTGTCGGATGTCTACGTCGGGGAAGTGGTTTTCGGGAAAATATTGTCGGGCAAATGATGTCGAACCTAAATTGTTATTATGCAAATCAAAGAAACTTACTGAATGTTAGACGTGGCCAAAGAACTAATGATGGATTTAAATATTGTAAATGTAAATATATCTTGAATAAGACTATAAAGTATAAAGCTAATATACCAATAATAGACGAAAATGAAGCATTATTTGAGGACTTATATAGATAATTAATCTGAATTGGATCCCTTGATTGTTGTAATACACAGAACAAACAACCATTTCTTTAAAATAACCCAATGTTAAACCATTTAAAAAAAATAATGAAATAACAAATAAAAATAATAATAATGAATGAAATAACAAATAAAAATAATAAAATAAAATAAAATATAAATAAAAATAAAATAATCAATAAATAATAAAAAAAGCATTACATTCATCCGTCTAGAAGTACGAACTAAACACATCAGATTAGCGACAATATAATCTTAATAAGCCGGCAAAGATAACCTAATCGATAGCCGCTAAAAAGGCTTTGGTCGCAACTCCGACTACTTAACCAAATTGTAAAGCTTACCGGATGAAAAGTGAAAAATATAATCCATTTGAATAAATAAATAATTAATACTCCGATTAACAAAACTGTAATGATATACTAGCCAACAACACTAAAACTGGTGGTCGGTTAAACCATCCCTATGCCTAATTTATAAATCATTGATAGTCATACTGATTCTGAAAATGAGCATTGTATGACTTACGAAGACAAAGCAACTATGCAAAAAAAATTTTTTTTATACCTTGTCCTGACATTAAGATTGAGTATTAAATTAAGAGCTGATGGTTAAATTTCTAACTTTTAAATTATTATTTAGTATTATCCCTACTCCAGCAGTTCCATATTCTTCTAATTCTTGGAATATAGAGAAAGTATTTATTTGAAGATTAGAATTTTTTCTGTACTGGGTACTTGCATTGAAGAATATGGGCTGCCGTCAATATAAATCACGCAGATTGACATTTAAAAAAAATCAATCCCTTACCTTTCATAGCCTATATCTCGATGAATTTTGAAGCCATCTTGACGGATTAATATTCAAAAGAAAGAATAAGATCTTTTGAATATTAATTCATCAAGATAATCTCAAAATTCATTGAGACATAGGCTATGAAAGTTAAGAGATTGATTTTTTTAAATGTCAATCTACTTGATTTCTATTGATAGCAGCCTATATGTAAATATACATATAACAATGATTTTGATGTAATTTGTCCTGCTACCTCCTAATATAATACAAATTTCACACTCATCTCTTATAGGTGAGTGTAAATTTGCATGTTATATTACAAATAAGTTACATGAAAATCAGTGCTTACATTAGACCTAGATGTACTTGTTATTCACTAGGATACTGTTTTTATGACGTGACCTTCGGCCACGTCATAATGCGGTATCTGCTGCGAATAAATCAGCGATTATCGGCCACAATTTGACCAATAATACGCTTATTTGACATGTCTTATGTGAACACCGAACCTAATATAAATACACAAATTTTCACTCACCTCTTAAGAGGTGATGAAAATTTGTGTATTGTATTAGGAGGTGGCCGAATAAGATACACAAAAATCGTTCGGTGTTCACATAAGACATGTCAGATAAAACCCAGTTAACAGTCATGATAGATGATAACTGATCTTTCACAATAGATACTGCTTTATGATGTGATCTATAAGCACATTATCCTAGTGAATAATCAGCTATCACTATGACATGGTAGATAACTACTGCTTATGTTGCAACTAGATTTCGAGCCTTATGGT